TTATGGTGTGATAAAATTTAAAAATACTTTTCATGGTAGGGTCGGAATTTTTAAAATAGAATTTTGTCAGATCTAAAGGAGGAATTATTGCTTTCTATTGAGTATCTCTCAGTCTTTCTGCGGGGATGTTGCGTCATGTACATAATGAAATTCCTTTGTAATGAAAATGATTTCATTATGATGTGCGCAATAGACGAGTTCAGGGAATTCAGCTTTAAGAGTTGTTTTTGTTTTGTTTTAAAAGCGTTTTATAAAATATCACGTAGGCCTACTCTAACGCTGTACACACATATTTTTTTTTCCCAGTAGGACTGAGAACATGACCACCCTGGCTGCTTCGTCTGTTCAGGAGGTCAGCACTATTGAAAGTCACATGATCCCTAATGACTCCATCGTTGTGTTTGACTGGGACAACACTCTGAAGGTAGTGAAACTTTTCATTTTTTTGACCTTCTGTACGTCGGTACAAAAAAAGATCATGCCTTTGTGAATCACGATAATCGGAATCTGCTGTTTGTGTTCTGTAGGACCCACTGTGACCCCACAATTATCCTGGATTTGTGCAATAGGTAAAGCACGTTGAAAAAAAAAGGGGGGGGGGGGGTAGTGGACTTTTATGATGGCCCTTTGCCTCCCAATCACAGAAGCTGAGCTGCACAAACACAGTTTTATCCAAGGAAACCGAAATGATAATTTGAGTCAGGACGCGATGGAATTGAGTGCTTGCCAGTTTTTGGGCATGTGGAGTTATTGGAATCATCTTAAAGCTTGTTATGAATTATATACAGTGGAAACCTGATATAACAGGGATGGTGGGAGTAGAGAAAATGTCCTGTTATATTCGATCCCTGTTAAATCAGAAATACAAAAAAAGTAAGCATTTGTGGACTAATCCAGCTATACTTATTCATGGGTAGTGCTTTACTTATTCATGGGTAGTTTCCCTTGCCACAAGTACTCACGAACAGAGGTTTTGGCACCAATTTTCTCAGTCCTTGCCTCCTTAAACCACATCAGAAGAGCTTGGTCCACAGCATCTGCATTGGGTAGTCTCATCTTCTTTCGATCCAGAGCAAACTTTCCATTGGAGTATGCTTCCACTATTTTCTCTCTATCCTTGATAATGGTGTGATTCGACCCTTGTGGAAAGTCTAACTGACGACAAATCTCTGCCAGTCGAGCTTGCCTTTTGTCAACAGCCTGGATAATTTCTTATTTTTTGTCTATTGAAAGGCATTTTCTCTAGCGCTTGACATTGTTGGTGACACATTACGCGCGCGTGTTGCTAGGTTTCGGGCTAGATCAAGGTCTGCAGCACACCGCAGCCCTCTCTCGCTTCACACACTGCGTGTGCTTGCAGTGGCATGGCTTGCGTGGGCTTGTTCCATCTCTGCGTTACTCTCTCTCTCTCTCTTTACACATTGTTAACGAGCTTTTGTCCCTGCTATAACCGGTTAGGCTCCGATGAGGCCATGTTATTGCCGATAACTTTTAATAGAGACAAAGAGTAGGAAAAAACGTGGATTTAAAAAATCCCTGTTATTACTGGATCCCTGTTATTACCGGGCCTGTTGTATATGGTCTCCACTGTAATATGAATCTTGCTTTTGATGAAAAAATCATCCATCTTGGATCACGGCTTACTGATATTTTTTGTCAGTAAGCCATGTCTTGGATACAAGTTGAGATATTGGCGGAGTTTGAAGGAGGTAGAGGTCACCTGGTTTCAGAGGTGTAAAATTACAGAGAAAATGGCCTCCACAGTTTAGTTATTTCCTTAGCCTGAGAGTCCATGGAAACTAAAAATTTACATTTTTTTGGCCTTTAATCAACGTTTTTCAGTATGATCAACGCATAAATGTTGTTTTTAATTGGAAATAAAAGGTGTTGAGCCAAGAAACAAAAATTCCATTAAAATTCCCAAGCCTGCATGAAAATTGTGCCAGTTTCTTCACTTTCATTATTATATTACATGGGTCGTTCAAAAAGTTTTGCCTCCAAGTTCGTAATTTCTTTATTACTGATGATACAAAAGTTATACACCAAATGAAAGCTTAGAATGTCTGCTACATGACAGTACCTTTACTTTTCAAAATAGTCGCCTTCTTTGTCGATTGCAGATCCGCCAACGTCAAATAAATTGTCGCATGTCGTCGGTGAAAAATTCATGTGGTTTTCCACTGAACCAGCGACGCACATCTTCATAAACTTCTTCGTCATCTGCATAACGTTTTCTTTTGAGGTACTCCTTCAACTTAGGAAAAAGATAAAAGTCAGATGGAGCAAGGTCTGGACTGTATGATGGGTGCGGTAAGGTCTCTTGAAACCTTAAACTTTTCATGGCATCTTGAGTTTGTCGACTCGTGTGTGAACGGGCGTTGTCGTGGTGCAAAATTGCAAATTTTGCGGGCCGAATTCGTGACAGCCGTGCTGTAAGTTTTCTCAGGGTCTCAATATATCGTTCAGAGTTGATAGTGGAACCCTGTTCCAAAAATTCCATATATGAATCAGACCATCGCAGTCCCAAAACTCTGCCATAAAGCACTTTCTTTGCAGATGAAACAACTTTGAACTTCTTGGAGCTAGGTGAGCCAGTGTGCCTGTATTCTTTCTATTGTCTTTTGTTCTTTGGGTCATAATGGTGTACCCAAGTCTCGACTCCTGAGACTATGCGGCGTAAGAAAGCTTCTCCTTCATCGGTATAACGAGCCAGGAGTTCATCACTAACTTGACTTCGGTTCAATTTCAGCTCAGGTGACAACATGTGGGGAACCCACCGGGCACACACTTTCCTGTAACCCAACACATCATTTGGATAATACACTGAGCGTCCCTATAGAAATCCGTAGCATTTCACTGACATCTCTTATTTTGATCTGCCGGTTTGCTTGGATGATATCATCCACTCTCTCCTGGTGTTGAACATCACTGGCAGAGTTGGGATGACCACTACGAGCATTGTCATGCAAATCTGTCTCTGCTGGACTGGTTTCAGCGAACTCCTTTGCCCATCTTCGAACAGAACTTACATCTACACATGCTTCACTTTAGACAAGCTTCATTCGCTAGATGAATATCGATGGGTGCAGCTCCCTCTGCAGTAAGGAACTTAATAACTGCTCTTTGCTTTAACTTAAAGCAAAGAGCTGTTATTAAGTTCCTTACTTCAGAGGGGCGTCTAGAAAACCTATGAATGTGCGCTTAAAGTTTAAGCGCACATTCATAGGTTTTCTAGACGCCATTTTCTCTGCGACAATGTACCCTAGCTTCCATGATGTAAACAGCAATTCAATAGCATAAAGGTGTGACATCATAGCATAATTCTGTTTATTGGGTTTGAGAGTATACATATTGAAAGTCAATTGTGTACAAATTTCTTGAAGATATCTTGAATAGTTTAGAAGTTATTGGAGAGGAGGCAAAACTTTTTGAACGACCCTCGTATTTTTGATGAGAGCCTGATTTCACCATGCTGCCTCACGTTTGGAATGGACAAGAGAGTCAGGAGTAGAATACAGTAGTCTCCGCCTAAGATCCTGGTGCTCGGGAGCAAGGAAATGCGGGATCTTAGGCGAACCGGGATCTTAACCGACGGACCCAGAGAAGAATCTATGGTGACCCATGCTAAGGCTCACGATCTGTACAATGGTCTCCCTCCACTCTAAAATGAACTGACGTGACCGTTTGGTGGGTTTATGACATATGGCGAGCAAAGAGTGGTTAACCTTGATGGCCTATCACAGTGCATAGTGGGATGGGGCGTGCCATTTTCACTTATTATTCTATCATGAGTCTCAAGATCTATGCTTATCCAGTTGCCCCTCCCCCTTATCTGTCGAAAATTTATAGCTTTTCATCTCTGACTGAGTCCCCCCCCCCCCCCCCCCCAAAACCGCCTTTGTCGTTACACACCATTACGTTGTGTACACACCAATTAAAATTCAGTCTGTCTCGCTCGCTAATTCGGGAGTAGACAAAACCTCTGCAATGGTCAGGGAAGAGTTCACAGTTCAATGATAGGTTCAATGTGATCCCGCCTAGAGCGAACGTGTAGGCCCTACCCACCCAGCGAGTGATGTAAGTTTAGGTGGAGAGCTCAGGTGTGAGTGCGATGTTCGGGGAAAACAAACGTGTCGGTCAGTTCACACCCCGGTGTGATCCCGTCTGGGGCAAACATTGTATCACTTCATCGAGTTTTACAACGTGTATGTGATCACATTCACGATAGTGGCTGATCTTGACGCGACGGACAGTTTATTGATCTCAACTTCTCACTCTTGGTTGATCGACTGTCCCGCCTGGGTTTATGATCTGAAATGCGGGATCTTACCGGAATGTAGACCTTCAGAGTGAATCAGAGCGGGATCTTAGGGGTGACTTTTGTATAGTAAAAATTCTGTTTTCTTAAAACAGCGGGATCTTAAGCAAACTGGGATCGTAAGCTGTGGGATCTTAGGCGGAGACTACTGTACTTGCATGTGACTGCAACTGCTGGGTTTTCCCTTTTTCAAGAGATTGGATGTCTCAGTTCTCCAGTTTCCTCATACTTTATCTTCAACAATGCAGCATTCTTCCTCATCATTTTTACTTTTTGTTGTGAACCTATTCTATTTTTTTATGGTTTCAAATTTTTATTTTCAGATTGTCTTTTACATTGAGACATATCTTCAAATGTGGCTCTTCTTTGTATCAGTTAAAGGTCTGTAAGGTGACCAACCTTCTGTTCACATGAATGATGGGTGTCTGAGATGTGGATTTGATACAATTATGAATGAACAGTGTTTCTGTGTTTGATTGAAATGAAGATATGTTTGAATTTCAAAATTAATGTTTTCCTTGCAATGTACCGATCGGAGCCATCTTATGATTGCGTTAGATATCTACGCGTTTTAGCGATTGTGTAATTGCGCGGCAATTCTAAGATCATATAATTGTATTATATTTGTGAGCTCTTCAGTTTCATATCTTAATTTTAATTTTAATTTTGATTTTTATATTTTAACACTTTTGAAAAAATGTATAGGTGAATGTTCCTTGATGTAAGTAAAAGAATGAAGGTGGAAGTGAATAAATGAAAAATTATTTAAAAAATATAAAATAAATTAAAAGAACTTTGTGAACTTTGAGTTTGATACCTGGCATTGTATCATTCTTGTGACCTTGCAGTGTCATACGTTAATTTAAATTTAAATTTAAGTTTAAATTTAAATTTTCATATATTTACACTTTTGAAAATGTGTGAATGTTCCTTGATGTGAGTAAAAGAATAAAGATGGAAGTAGATTTTTTAAAAGAATATAATTTCAAAAATATGAAATATTAATGCAATCTTCAGATTGCCGCGCAGTTATGCAGTTGCTAAAAGTTTTAGTAAAACGCGCAGCATAATCTTAAGATTGCCACGCAATTATATGATCTTTTAAAAAATGCGCAGCGCAAGATTGCACGGATCGGTAAATTGCGCGGAGCAGGTGCGCAAATTAATCCTTCAAGTTTCGCTAACAAAGAGCCTGTGGTGTTAGGAGAAAATATAATTCACCATATTATGGTTGAAAACGCTTAAGAACAGACAAATCAAGTGTGCAAAAGGCCATAAACCTATTTGTTTTTGGAAAATAGACTCAAGTAGGAAGCAGAGCTCGTCTGTGAAGGAGTTGAAATGTTAAGCGGTATAAAAGTTGGGATAAACGAACCAAAATGGTGAATCAAATCATGGCTGATTGATTCAGCCACAATATCACAAAATGAAACTTTTGTTCAATGTAATCGGCCGTAGACACCAGGAAGGTTGATGCACAAGTATGTGTACATCTGTGTTGAAGAACGGAGGAAAGTAAGAAAGCAAATTGGCCAATTTTTTCATGGGAAGGTGACAAAAAGAGAAAAATGGCTTTTTTTTGCTGGAAAAGAGGTTACCAAAGTAAGTGGTTGCCTTTGGGGAAGTGAGTATACATGTGTGAAAGTTTTTGAAGTTTGTACTTCTATCTTATTTAGACCAAGTTGTTTTTTTTCTCTTTTTCTTCAGATTGTGAACAAAGAAACCAAACGGATTGAAAGTCGTGTAAACAAAGAGTTTCTCCGTCATTTGATAGGGGAAAGAGGCTGTGAGCTGTATGTGATAAGTGCCATTCGACCATCTCAAATGAACATGGACACATTGTTGATGGAGGTTGACAGGCTAGGATTACGTAATTTCTTCTGTCAGAACAGCAAAGGAAGAGAAAAAGGTGCCAATGATTTCCCTTGGGTTCGAGAGGGGAACATTATAATTTGTGGCTATAATAAAGCTGAGGTGTTTTTGACTTTGAGGGAAAAAGATATGTCATGCACAGATGAGGTAGATTGTGCTGATGATGGACATTTGACCAAAAGACCGGTTGTGTTTTTTGATGATGAAGCAGAAAACATTGAAAAATTCAGCCATATTGTCAAAGATAGCCTTTGCTATAAAATTGAAGGCTGAATATTTCTTTTGAATCTCAGGAATTGTATGATAATAATAGTAATAATAATATATAACATTTATATAGCGCATTTCCAAAAAAAGTAGCTCAATGCGCTTTACATGACGTTTAAAAAAATATTTGAATGTGTTGTAGGCTAGTCTTGTTTAGTTTATATATATATTTTGTCCTATTACAAACGTATACTGGTATTCTCCCACCGATATATTTTAAGATTTTTTTCTTTTCCTGAAGGCCATTTGTTTCCTTTAGTACAACAACACTCCTAATCACAAAAGCCGAGCTGTACAATTAAATGCAGAATTTACCCAAGAGCCTGTTTCTGCCTTCAAGGCAGACAAATAGTTGCTTCAACTGATAGGCTACTATGCTTCTCTTGAGGGTCTCTGTTGAGCAAATTTTCATTGTGTTCAAAGAAATCATATATTGTGCATCATGCATGTCTTTTTAGGCTAGGAGTTTGGGTCACATATAGTTCTTGGGACTCAGTGGCTTGCTGACAAAATGATTTACTTCTCGCAATCCATATACTGGCCAAAAATCGACACCAGGGTCAAATTTGTAGATTTTTTTTCTCTATTGATACCATATACTTTAAGTATAACATGTCTTTTATAATTTATTATTTCTTACTTATAAATTGTAAAAATTTAATGTATCTAGCATTTGTGTTTGTCGCTGCCGCGACCGGCGAATCGTGGCCGCGATTTTTGCATATTTCCAACAAAAAAACACCGCCGGGAAGAAAAAATAATTTAAAAACAACAAAGACGAATAGCATTCGCGCAAAAAAAAAAAAAATCAAACCTCTTTACTTTTAAAAAGAAAGTTTATTTTCACTTTCGCTTCACTTCGTCTCTTTCTCACTTGTTAAAACCACGTTGATTTGTAATTTTCATTTGAAGAATAGGCTACATTACATACTATTTTGCTGTTTCTCTTTCATGTTTCCCTCTTTGTTGTGTTTTAATTTGTTGGTGTGTTATTTGTTCTCTTCTCGCTTTTGTTCTGATGTATTGTTTTTTTGTGGGGGTTTTTTGGTGTGTGTATATATATAGTATAGCGTAATGTTCTTCCTACCTTTTAAAAAAAAAAATGTGTTATGTTCGAGCGTGTCTCCACCGAAACCGAATACTGACACTGGCAGGCCCCTTGTGTGTGATTCCATAATTTACATGTTATATCCTGAACTTTTTCTTGAATTACAGATGTTTAGGGTTAAAACGGCCAATCTATGGATGGGTTGACACACGCCCTTATTTGCTAATTTTTGTGATTGTTTATTAATTTGCTGTTCTAATTTTGATTTCATCCTGTTGTGAAACCTTTATTTTAAACGTTTTTACACTCTGTGTGACTACAAATGATATTCTGGATGCTTAAAACAGGGCACAAGAAATTCTAGTGTTTTAGATTAAGTTACCTCTATCAACATATTGCTATATAATGTTGTCACGGAGAGTAGAAAGCTTGAAAATTAATGGCAACTTTTACCATTTTTGTGGCAACTTTTGGACAAAAAAATGGTAACAAATACAGATGCTAGACCTCTGAGCGTGATATATATATATATCTATTTCCATAGAGTAACTCATTTTGTCAGCACGCTTCACATAATGTTCTCCCAAAGGCTAAATGACAGGGAAGAAAAAAATTCATCCTGCTCCAGAGGCCAATAATTTTTGCATGAAGCGGAAGATAGGGAAAAAGATGAATTTTCCTCCTGTTTGAATAGGGCAGTTTATGTGAAAGAGCTCATTATTTATAGTCGTGTGTCCTGTTGGATGGAAAGCTCACACAACTTACAGTTACTTCTTTGACTGACCAGGTCATTTGTATCAGCTTGTCCCCTCCCCCTTCCCACCCCTGCATCCCCCCCCCCCCCCATCCCCACACACGTACTGCATTCTATCCTGTTTGACACATATCACTATAATCCATGTATTCAGTTGCCACTGATGATCGCCAAATGCCATTAACTCATTAACAGTTGGATGAATATATTGTGGAAAATGGGGCCAAGAACTTTTAAAAATAAAGAGTACATTGTCTATTGTGTCGGGCAATGCTGGAAATAACCCATATCCTTTTGTGTGCAAGTTCCACTACTTGGTATAACACCCAGATACAAGATTCATAAGGTTCTTTTCACCCAGTCAGTAAATAGTTATTCTTCCAATTAGAAAATGAAGTATGCACAGTGTTGTTTGTGTGCAGTTGTGTTTTTTGATGGCATAAACTTTCCGTGATCATGTACACTATTTTGCTTGAAAATTTATTTCACAGCAGATTTTAATGTATTTCTACTTTTTGAATACTTTAAATACTGGTGTTTTCTTTCAATGTACATATATTTTTATAAATATTTTTGCTTTGTAGCACTTTTGGCATTATTATGGTACGCAATAGTCGAACTTGTCACATAACTGTAACAGAAAGTTCATGTTCAAAGGCTTTGTGCTGAACAAAGTCTACGGTAATTGTTTCGAACCCTTTAAGTAGGCTAAAGAATCACAAAAAACTTGCCTTATTTTCAGAAATGATTCACACACTTTGGGTAAAAGAAAAGAAGAGCATTAACTTCATAATTGATCATTTGATTATATCGGGGGGGGGGGGAACCCCAAGAAAACAGTCTGAAGTAAGGGATGGATAAGAAGTACATGTACAATATACAGGTATTAATATTTATTTAAAATTTAAAGCGATAAAATTTGGGATACGTTCAGAAATGCAAGTGGCCCTAAATTCAGATGAGGGGAAATCTAAGTCTTGATGGTCTGTTAGACATTATGGATGGTACCTGTTTGATCATGTTTCCGTTATACTTTCATTTTTTTGCCTACTGGTTTTCTTTTTGGGTATTGAATTGATTGTACATGAAACTTGTACAATCAGTGTATAGTATGGCCTGAGATATCTGATCCTTAAAACAGCCTCGGACAGGTAAATACTGCTGAATCTACTGTCTAATGGCCACCTTCCAAAATAATTGCTGCATGTACAAACGACCGCACCCTGTTTCCCTCCCTTGAGTTTATTTTTGTAATATAATGACATTGTCCAAGGTGTCCTCCTGTCAAAGTGTCAAAGACTACCATTTTTTTCCCCTTGACAATGGGTGGCTATTTTGGATTATTTCGACCATAAATGAGATGAAATGAAATGTGACAGAGGAGCTTCTTCCCATTAAATAATGTAGCTTGTTGATTGTTACCATTCTTGAATATCTCTCAGCCAGCCACATTATATATGTATATCATATCATTCTCAGCTGTGTTATCATGGCATGAGCACAAATTAAATAAACAGTTTTACTTTTAATGATACTTCATCTTTGTCCTTGTCTTATTTCTGTTATTTTTCTCTGAAGTGTGATCTGTGACTATTCTGAAAGTCTATAAAATAAAATGTGTATGTGTCTTCTAAAGGCTTTAGAAGTAAAAGGGATGAAAAGTTGGCCCATGTTGTTTCTCGCTACGGGCTGATAAAGTAAAGAATCAATTTTTTGACAAAAATGTGTTTTCATTTTTTAAAAAATAGTTACACCATTTCTGGGCCATTATTTAAGAAGATTTTCATTTACTTGACTTCTAATTACTGTATAATCGACTTAAATTATATCGACATACCTTGGGAAGTGGATTTGATGTCGATATAATATATAAAAATGTCGATAAATGAAAGTATAAAGCCAAAGAGGAAAAAACAAGGGGAGGTGAGCGATGAAAAGACAACATTACTTTTTAATTTGCTTCCCTTGGTTCTTACACAAAACTACACTGTGAAACTTACAAGAGGCAAGGGGGGGGGGGGGTGTTGGAGTTACGGTACCAAAGACCGAGCAGCGCGAGGCACACACTACACACCAGCGCAATATCCTTGTAAGGCCTGATAATGGCCGCTTGCTGAGGAAAATGGAAAGGCGAGGCACTGACTCACTGACAGTGGCAAAAGCCAGCGACAGACTGGGATGGGGAAGGGGAGTGAGTGATCTGGAGTGGGGGTAGGGAGGTGATGCCCAGCGCGCGAGATGCTCATGTCTGTGATGCACTGTACTGTGCTGGAGACTACATTGTGTAGGCCCTACAAAAGTACATGACCTACTAAAGCCTGGTGTGTCGAATAGGCTACTTGGCGAGTATGCGGACTTAACGAAGAACTAATGTGTTGACCGTTAGCGTGGCTTTTCCCCACATTTATGTTCGTAGGCTTCGCCAGGCACCCAGGAAGCATGTCGATAAAGCAGAGTGGGCCGAAAAAAAGTCGATATAAGAGAAATTGTTTACTGAAGATATTGAAGTAAAAATTTCGTAATGGAAAAATATGTCGATATAATGTCAAAATGTCAATAGATGTGGATTATACTGTATTTTGTAAGGAATTATTTTGGTGGCAGAGTATTCAATAAAAAAGTGACTAAGAAAATGCTTAGGATCCGTCTCCTCTTCCCTTGCCCTGCACTTCAAATGAAGTTGAACCCTATCATGTTATACCAAAATATTAACTGGGACTTCCTCTACACTTTGGCAGTGTGCCTGCATACCTTCATGGTGCACGATTCTCAAGTCAAAGCCTGTTTTCTCAAAATTGTTTCTTTATACAGTGGACCTTGGTTTCAACGAAAGGAGATCATGGACTCCTCGTTTTAAAAAAATTATTAAAATCAATTTTTAAAAAACAACTCTGTTTCAACAAGCAATAAATGAGCAAACTCAGATTGATTCAACTAAGTCACTTACAGGGTGAACAGTCCCCACTGACGTGGCTTCGCTCATTTTCCTTCTGCAACGAACCTTATCTGTTTTCGGAAACCATCCATGGCAACTGCATCATGAACCATTTTTCGTTTAGCCTATTGTTTTTATCTCATAGGCCGGCCCCACATAGGACGTGTAGTGAAACGCATATAGGTGAAACAGGAAACAAGAAATGTGAAACTAGAAACATCAGGCAATCACATAGGACTGGCGTGTGGTGAAATACAAGACGAGAAACAACACCAATTCAGAAGTAGGCTTACACGACAATTCAGTTGACAAAATGGACTCATCAGATGAAGACACACTGATGATCTTAGTTTTATTGAGAAAGCGCAGAAAAAGAAGAAAGCACAGCTTAGGTCTCAAGACCATTTCCTTTTGAGACATAAAAGAGGAGAATACACAAGAACCTTTTGTTCCTTGAAGGAAAAAAGGGATGATGGACTCTTTCAATTATTTGAGAATGTCATATGACAACTCTGGTTGCTTCCATTTTTACAACCTATTGGGTCCTCTGATCTCTATTTTTGTAGTCTCGACGTGTAGGGTCCCTTGGCGTGTACTAACTCAATTTACTGGTTTTCTATAATCGTCCATTCTGATGGACCTATGCTTACTTCTTGCTGTTACGCGATCAATGGAGAACTGGTATAGACAACCCAAAATTTATAGTTGGGCGACTCTTGTGTTGACATGTAATGAACAATATTTTTATAAATCTTTTGAACTAAGCTTGAAAACCGATCGTTTATGCGATGACTTTGCTAATTTTGGTACGCTGATTGCCGAATATATCACAATATTTTTTCAAAATAAAAATGTTGAAAGAAATATTTTACCCCAATTTTGTTCCCCGCCTAATGGAAAACTTCAAAGGAAGCCGGCAGGAGTTGGCTGTCACCACCAGCGTGGCTTGCTTGAGTACTCGTCAGTGGCCACACGCCACACAAAAAATGAACATGTACATTTAATCTCAACGTGTGTTGAAACGCATTTCACGTTACAAGTTTGATGCCACGTCCGATGTGCAGGCTGCCATTAAAGTCTTTGTTGTCATTCTTTGTCGCACGCTTTTCCTGTTTCAGATTTCAGATTTCTCGTTTCACCACATGTCCTATGTGAGGCCGGCCTTATGCGACCAATAAGCGGCCTTCTTTCATACGAACATACAGTCGAGGTTGGACAGGCGGCCAACCCAAATATGTGACTGTGCACAAGCGGTCCGAGCATGGAATGTCAGTAGAGATAGGCTACCAAGACGTCAGTCATTTCTCCTCCCCCCCCCCGCCCCCCATCTCCTGCGCTACTGGTCAATATTACAATAATAAGCTAGTTTTGGGATAGATCTACATAATGAATTGTGCGTTGGTATGAAGAATAAAAAATTGCCGTATGCTTGGTTGTACACTGCAACATAACTTGTTCGGCAAACAGTACGTCATAGTAGATGACAAAGGGGTGCATTTGAACGAATCAGTCCTTTTGCACAGTGTGTGCATGACAGAGTTCAGTGTATTTTCCTGGAATTTTTCAGCACTTCTTCGGTACGGCATCAAAGAAACGAAAACACCTCTCATTTGAAACCAAACTACTTTGTATAAATTTTTATTGAGGGAGTCGAAAAGATGCAAAAAACCCTGACATTTCAGGATAGCCTACCACTTGTTAGCCTCCTTTATACATTACTTGCTCGGTGCATGTAATTACAGTGGAACTCGGATTTAACTAGAGGAGATGGATTCCCCGTTTTTCTTTGTTTAAATCAATAAAAATAACCCGGATTCAACAAGCACTTAAATCAGCAAGCTCGGATTCAACGAGGTCGCTTCCAGGGTGACCAGCCCCCGTAGACGTGGCTTTGTTCATTTTTCTCCCACAACGAACTTTATCTATTCCTTGAAACCATCCATTGCACTTGCATCGTGAACCATGATTCACTTAACCGATTGCATGCGACCAATCAGCGGCCTTCTTTCATACCAATACATGCGTTATTGGCACGCGTTTGTTGGGATGGGACAGGTGGCCTGCACACGTGACTTTGTGTGCGTGTCAGGGGGCACCAGCAGTCCAGGCATGGAACGTCGCAGATACAAACACGTCTTTTTTTCCCCGGCAACTGATCATTATTATAATAAGCTAGTCTTGACGTAGATCTACGTAATGAATTGTGCGCTGGTCTATGGAATCTAAAGTTGCCGTATGCTTGGCTAGGCTCTACACAGCAACACAACTTTTTGGCATATAATCGAGATGAAACAGGCGTGCATTTGAGCGAATCGGTATTTGTTTTTCTCACAGCTCATGATATGCAGGCATTTCAGGCACCACTTGTTACTTCTCTTTATACATTACTTGCTCAGTGCCTGTCATTATCTACATAAAACCTCAGGTTTGCTATATCGAACACTCGGATTCAATGAGATTTTTGGCCAGGACCGGCGATCTCATTGAATCCGAGTTCCACCGTATCTACAAAAACCACTTGTCTGCTATAACGCACTCTCAGATTCAACGAAATGGAAGGTCCGGCTGGATGACTTTGTTCAAGGCGAGTTCCGCAGTACCCTGCTTCACAAAATGATTCATCTCAAAGAATACCTTATATCTGAAAAATTGACCCAAAAAACCCCTTAAAAAACCAGTGCCCATCATCGAATTTTTTATTTTAGAAATAGACCTACTCCTTACCTAAAATGTCAAAATGTGACTTTTGGTGCCTTCCTTCTGGTACACACATTTATTTTGTTTGTACCAGTATGGTATATAAACTAAATTGTAATCTTCATCACATTGAAAAAATTTTATTCACTTGATTAGAAATATGCCATGTCCTCAAAAGTCTATTCCGTGGCTTCTGTACATCCATTGTCTATTTCAGCATTCACTTTGTCCTTTTCCCGGTGAAAAGTGGCAGTTATTGGTTGAGCTGACTTGTATACAAGAAATGTTAAACCCCCCCCCCACAAATATAGCATCTTCACTGAATGTGTAGACAGCAAGATTGTAAAGGTTCCATTAGCCAGGAACATTTGGAAAATATCAACACTGCGTACTGACAAAGCAGAAGCCTTCTCTTTCATTTGCTTTAGCGTGTACATATATCCACACAAAAAAAAAGTACAGAGAGACTAAATTTCTTCTCTTGGGTTAAATTTTATTTGGTGTCATTGTTCACATTACTTAGATAATTGATATCGATAAAAATAAATCATGTATCAAGTGTATGAGCATACAATAGATATATATATATATACCATGACGCCAGCCAAAATAAAAGGTGCTGATCAGAAGTTGGGTTTAAGTTTGGAGCTTCTGAAGTCTGATGTCATCTGTCAGCAAAGGTGAACAGAAAGTCTTTTCTCAGGATACACATCCTGCACAGCATAGGTTGCTCAGCACTGTGAAAGTTACAAACTGACATTCAAAAGCTCTGGAGAGAAAAGTAAACAATTCCTTAGAAATTAGAAAAGTCTATCACTATTTTCATGACCCATAATATGAACGCTTGTCTGCTTTTGAAAAGCACCCCATTTTTGGCTGGCCTACATACAACTTTTAAATCCATTTCGACTGCTTAGTATAAAACTAAGGCATACGTCATTTTAAAAAGTGATGTATGACAGTTTTTTACACTGAGCAGTTGATATTTCTATAATAAAGGGGAACCTCTCACTTAACCCATTTTTCCAGAAATAAAAGAGACCTCATATATATTTTTTTTCCAGAAGCAAAAGAGACCTCTTATATAATATTGTCCAACATCCTTTACAGTACAGAACCAGGTAGTGGCTGTTTTACCATCTTCATCACTTCATAATTCATTTATAATGATGCTTGAAAATTAAGGAACTAATGAAAACAAAGAATTAAATCAGTACATGCAAATTATACAAACCCAAGTGACTACTGTATATTATTATACACAGGAATTGATTTGAGCCTTTTTTTTTCAATTGATTGACCCCCCCCCAAGTTGTCTTCATTTCTATCTAGACAAACAACACACCTTTCTTGGTTACAATACATTGATCAAAATTTCCAAATTCTTGAAAATATCACCAAATCCAAAACATACATAAACAGCATAAACAAAATACAAGACATTGCTAACAATGGGGTATTCATCACTCTCCAGTTTGTCACAAGAAGTAGATCTAGACAGAAAAGTAAAAACCTTTGATAAATGATACTGTTTAGCCTCACAGCAAAACCCTCCCTACCTACCCTACAACAGCACAAAGTTTCCATTCTCTCATGCGTTTAAATTATAGATCAATTTCATTATAATGACAACTCAAACCAAAATGAAAGCCTTAAAAACACAAACTCATCGAGCTAAAGAAAAAATTCGAAAACAATGAAAACTTTGAAGTTCCCAGTAAATCGTCAGCTGCAAGCCAGAGGTCATTAAAACTTATAACGATTGCAGTGTAGCAAGAATGCCCTAACAGCAAAATTGAGTTATTCAAATATGATGTTCCATCATGTCTGTATGAATCCGCCCATTAGTTTTGCCACAATTGCAGTTCTTGATATAATATATATTTGCACAAGTACTTCTTTTTTACACTTCACATAAAAATCGACTTTTTTCAAAACAAGCAAGCTATCCCTAGCTCTCAGCCAAAGATGTTTGAAATTAGAAAATTGATGTTGCAAGCAAGGTGCAATGTCTTTTCAGAGCTCGACAATAATAAGGAAGAAAAACCTACAGGAGGACACATACACAACTGATGTTGTTCAAATGTTAACCAATCCAATCTCCTACCAGGGCAAGAATGCAACCAATACACATATATTTGTAGTTGTTTTTGATCCAGAGGTCTATCAACCACCAATTAGTATGATTCAGTTAGAAAATAGTTGACTTAAAGCCCAGTTGAGTAAGTTTGAAAAAGTACGAAAACTACTGAGAATATTTCACTCCACCTGGGGAGTATGCAGTATATATATATATATTCATGCCCTGAAAAGCTTATGTGCCATTATCACTGCCAAAAGAAAAATGTCCTGTTACAAGCTGATGCTGAGTTACCAGGTTATAGGGGAGAAAAAATTCTTGATTACTGATACGAAAACTTACAAGATGCACTCAAATCTGAATACAAATACAAAGACTTCACAGAAATGCAAAAGAACTTAATCAGCTGTCACTTTATAAATTTTGAAATAATGCATGACAGTGGCAAAAAGAAATGCTCCTCTGTTCAGGAAGAGTACAATGTGGGCTTATTAAACAGGTACAAAACACATTAGAAACTGAGAAAAGCTTGTAAAATCCTGTAAGCTAATTTTCCTCCTTATCCGTTTTTTTTGCTGTATGCAATGCATCAAAATTATGAACAGACCAACTGAACACTATAAAAACTTAACAGTACTCATTATGCCCCTGTAATTAGTGTATCAAAGAATGAACATGACGAAGACTAAACCTGTTGTGTTCAAAGAAGTATAAACATTTAAATAAAGTGAAAAATACACAGTTCAGCCACTCTGTCTGAGACCAACAGGCAGACAAATAATCACATAAACCCCATCCCCCACCTCTCCAGGTCAAACCACAGGTACGTAGAGAACCAGATACATTGGCAAAGAGAATTATCAACACAGTATGTACACTAAAGAAGTTAAGAACACAAAATAGAAAGGAAAAACTCCCAGGAAACATAAACATCACAGAGCCATTTTCAGTCAACCAATCACTTAAATTGTCAGGAGCAAAACTCAACGTGTACCAACAGGCAAAAGCACTACCCTTTGACAACATCCCCACTGCTACCACAGACGCAACCACCCTTTCAGAAACCATAACACTCTTGGGAGAAATAAAAATGATAATAAAGGATGATGACAGGCAGTGGGCATCCCAGAGAGAAACTTGCAAAATCTCTTCGCATTTTACTTGTTATCACCGATCACTATCAAAAGCGGCATGTTCAAGAAGAAGGGAATTAGAGAACAAACACACGGCACAAAGTTCTTTCTGCACAAATTAGATACCTTAATTTCCCATTAGTTCTATAAAACACGAGAGCAGCCATGCAAATTTTGGCACTAACGAATAAAAGCACTGAATGAATTTCTTGAACAAATACTTTCTACCACAGGTTTCTTGAAACTTTTCTGATGGCAGCTCAGTTTTATTTTACATTCATTGCTGTTACAATAAAAATGCCCAACTCAGTTTGAGCTCGAGTTACAGGGTGAGCAAACAAAACTGAAATTCTGAAATGATTAGTTCTTCCTAAAACAGTGGCAACAGGTAAATTTGGGACCTAGTCAGCATGATCTTGCTCCACAGTAAGTGTCAAGGGTTGGAACCACAACCTTGAAAAATCCAGCACTGACACACCACTTAGAATGCTGCAACACCCAACGGTTCACTCTCACCATTCTACTGCTCCACCAGAGTCTTTGTAAACCTCGTCCAAGTGTAGAAGGACTTCTGGAAACTACTGGATTGTCAACAACAGTGAAAGCTTACCTCAGACATCATGTTAATATAATAACCAACAAACAAGAGCCAAAGATATTGGACCATCCCATAATTTATGGAAAAGCGACAGCCCCCGGTCTGTGGAGCATATTTTAGACGGTTTTACACGGCCAAGAGATCAATATAATATTTCATTCCCTCCACGCCTTGACCACACACCAGTCTGCGTCAGGGACTTTCAGCTTTCACTCAGGAGAAACCAATGCTTTTCTCTCATTTCACCCCCTATAGCCAGTTCCCATCAAAGCTCAACTCAAAGAGGAGAGAAACAACGTCAATTTTCCCCAGACTATCGGGCCAGGGCACAGATGAGACTGGCGCACATCTCAAAGAACTCGAGGGTCTGATGCGGCTGGCCCAGGTTGCTGTCGTCGTCTGTCTCCATGCGATCGTCGATGGACAGCTGAGAGCCGGAGCTGGCTGGGCTGGTGCTGCTGGCCGGGGGGCTCATCTCTGTGGGCTCGCTGCAGTTGTTGAGGCTCTTGAAATCCAGCAGGTAGCTCTTCTGGTCCACTTGATACAGCTGCAGGCTCAGACGGGTCTGCAAATGGGAAAGCATGGACCATGATAGGAGGCGCAGTACTCTCCTTTTTATTTAGTTTCAGTACGAATTTTATGGACTCCTCCCTCCATAAACACACACTTAACACAACACAGCAATGAAAGAAAATTTGAACACAGCTTCATAGTCATAGCACTGAACTGAAGCATTGGGTAAAGCAACCCTTGTATCTCTTCTTAACAAAAATACAAATTAGCAACAATACCCCCCCCCCCTAACAACAACCCTTCACATGATTAGCTCACTTGAGTCTTTTCCCGTATTTTCCCGCCCCTGTTGCGGGAAGCCCGGCCGACCGCCTATGTCTCATTCCGCGTCCCTTGCGAGATCATTATTAAAACATGACGGCACTTTTAATTCACGGCGTAAGTAGTGGAAAACGCCACACCAAGTTAGTATCATTTACTTTTTGCTGATCTAAAATCCTTCTCTCACTGTGGTCATGGAGTTGGCGTTCGTTACGATGTCGGAGCGCGCCTGATTTCGATATATTTTTAACGATAATAACCACGATTTTAGAGAAGATATCAAAAGCTGCAACTCTAATTTAGTTTCAGAGTTCATACTTTAACTTAGTATTGAAATAGCTCAGAATAAACGTTTAAAATGTGAAAAACGCGACCAAGCACGAGGGAAGGGGAACCGCCCGGCAAACTTAGACCTAGGTCTAGTACTGGAGTTGGACCCGTGATGTAAACAGAAAAAAAGAAAGATACCTTTAGATCCTGATCCTGTAGTACAAGAGCAGGAACTATGAGTAGATTTAGGTGACAAAATGTAACTAAATTAGGCATTACATTTCATGCAAGTCAGTTAAGCAGGACAAAACGCGCAAAGGGAAAGGAGACATCAATCAAAGCTGTGCAGTCTGTGCCATTCCATTGAATGAACCCTGCTCTTTTTTTTCAGATTTCAATGTGAAATAACTGAAATAACCAATTTTTTTCTGCTGTTGAAAACTTGAAGGACCTTAATTGATTTTGTTTTCCAATTCCACCCAAATCAAACCCTTTTCTGTACATTTACTCCTCCTCTGTTTGGACAAGTACTTCTAAAAAAATGTCTGCGCTTGGTCAAATTGTGCCCATTTTTGAAAGATCATAAGCCATAAAAGATTTCTTTGTCATTTATTTTGCATGTTATTGTACTATATTTGATGTTCCTATGGTGTAAATTTAGTGTATGTGGTGTGAGATGGTGAATTTTGGTGAATTTTTGAAAAACCCCAAAAAGCCCAGACTCCAGCGCTTGTTTTTTCTGAAATACCCCAGACTCAAGTGAGTTAAAAATAAAAAATAAACTTCTTCTGACTATGACAAACATACAAAACACAAGTTGTTGACATCTAGTATCTTGTCGAAGGCCAGTCATCATTGTAGCCAGCCCCCCCCCCCGAAACAGACGAGGACAACAGCAAAGCTGAAAAGAAATTACAAGCAAATGATGCTGAAACACCCCCTACCCACCTGCTGTTCAATCTGAAAAGGACAAATTACACAAACCCACTTCATGTCACTGCAATAATACACAAAGAAAAGGAGAAGACATTTTCTTACAAATCTCAAAGTGACAGGATTCTTCCTCCTCACTCTTACATGCCACTGGTTGATCACCTTCCAATCCTGCAAAAACGAAAGAAAGTGAAACATTTCTGTGCTCTGTTTGAGTTACAAAAAAAGATTTTTGAGTAAAGAGAAGCACATCCAAACAATAATGGTCATTTAGTGCTGGGAAAGACAGAAACAAGAGAAGGAAAGAAGAGAAGTAAGGCCTAACAGTGGCACCCTCCAACCACCTGTATGCAAAAAAATAAGGTAAACTTGAGGAACACACACAGACAGAAAAACCAGAACGAGAGCAAAGAAGAAAAACATGTCAAAAGTGAATTCAAACAGCTAAAAAATGTAAAAGATATTTCCCTTACTTAATGAAATGACTATCAAATCAAAATTGACTAAAAATAAAAAGGTCAAGAATTCTTGGGATATGACAAATTTTACAGTCATGGAAAAACAAATAAGTCCAAAGAACAAAAGTGCAGCGTCCTGTTTTCCAAGGTTTTCTTAGTTGCACAGAAGAATATCTTCACCTTCCATTTGGAGTTGATCAAATTTTGTGAGTTCTGCATCACGGGACAAGAGAGAAAGACAACAGTCAATACAATGTATACTCACATAGTCTAATGACTTCATCGCTCGGTACACTTCATGCATTATGTCCTGGGGTTTGCTCTGGGACCTTATTCCTGCAAGTAAAAGATATGAAAATCAGTTTCATAGAACAGGGTAGCTTTTATAACTTCTGGTTCACTACAGCATCTTCAAAAATAAAACTATTTGCATGATGTATGATTTCTACCCCCCCCCCCTCCCCCCCAAAAAAAAACAACAACAAAAAACAAAACAAGCAAAAACAAACAACCACACTCTTTTAAATAAAGAACTTGTATGAAAAACTTAACTTCATAATAATGTACATGATACACATAGGGAGGTATCCAATATAAAAGGGTGTAACAGAAAGAAATCTGATAAACATTAATGACATTACTGGAATAAAACAAAAGGCCTGGCTTTCAGAAATATTACATTTCAAAACAAGTCCCAGACTCTTATTATAATTTGCTTAAAAAGTTAAATATGTTGGTATGTTTTGATGAAGAAATGGACACACCTGAATTAAACATAGAAACAACCTGTTATATTTAAGCTCACCAATGTCAATACTTTCAAAACAAGGTTAAATGGTACAAAATATATCGGGCACAAAGACAAACTTCGTAACAACAGCAACTTCTCTCTCAATGAATAAATAATTGGTTGCAGGTGAGTTCTTGGTACTGTAAAGCAGAATACAACGAGTCTATTAACTCACTGAGCACCACTCCCGCAGCATACACGGTCTGGTAAAATTCGCGATAGAGACCGCGACCGCAGCGTACGCGGGTTCAACTATAATTGACTATAAGGTAAACCCAGAAGTTTAAAAATGCTTGCAAATAGCCCCAGTGGTTTACACAGGATATCGACAAGCCAGTTCTTTGTGGTTTGTGTATATTCACCACTTTTAGTGCGAAGAAACAGGTTATTTGTCCAACAGACTGAACAACTGAAAGTAAGGAACTTCCGCACAGTTCGTTGGTGTTTCTCATACACGAAGCATGGCACGGCGAGTAGTGTCAAAGTTTATTGAAACTCTTGATAATTTTGGTGAAGATTTAAGTGACAGTGAAGTATCAGAGAGATAACTTCATAAATCAAAATGTGAATTCGCCTAGCAGTGATGAAGATGACTGAGAAAATGACATTAGCTAGATCTAGGTCTAGACCAACATCCTCTCTCGATCGTGAATCTGACTCGTCATCGAGTACGCAGCCTTGTCCGGCTGGGGATGATGATAGTAGGTCTAGCCCCAGTACTAAACTCTAGTTCAAATCAGCCCTCAAAGTGGAGAAGATATAAATGTACCCAGACCTGGGACATCTATTGACAGATCTAGTCCTAGATCTAGCACTAGCAACCAGGCTCACCGTGGAAGATCTACAGATCTAGAATCTAGATTTAGATATTTATAATTTTTTCCTTTTTCAAAATTAATTATCCCTTACATTTTTATGCTACTTCATTGTACACACTCATGCTTCATTCTCCTACACACAAACACACACTGCCACAACTATTTTGTGTAAGTTTATTAGATTTCTGCTTTGTCACCTCACTTCCTTTTTTTTTAAAAATTTTTTTCTGAGGCAAATTTGTCCCAACTTTCTGTCCCATACATTTTTTTGTCGTTCATTCTTCACAAAATGTGTTTATTGTGTCTGTTGAACCCATATCTTATTAAATAGCACAGAAAATTTCAAAGAAATAGCATTTCATTTCAATTTTTTATGAATTTTCAAAAAGTGGGGGGAAATTGGTGGTCCTCTGGGGCTTGGAGGCAAATCGGGGCATGGTGCTGAGTGAGTTAAAAAATGGACATATATTTTGAAAGGAACAAAATAAGACAAAAGCAAGAGTAAAAAAAAAGAAAAGAAAAGCAAAGGCGCCATGTGGAACAGAAGCTTTTTTTTTTATATTGCAAGAAACAACCTTCAACTTTTCAATCCCAGAAGATGAAAAGATGTTCATCAGAGACACATTACCTAAATGCCACTTTGCTTTCTTTGCGTGACCACTGTTCTTATTATCAATGACTGGATCCAATGTGTGAGATGTATTCTTCATTTCTGAGGAAAAATAACACAGCTCAGTAAAAATCATGTTTTGCTTTTTCCAACAAGACAAATCACTAGGTAACCTTGTCTCTAATTATTTTCTCTTTTTAGTTTAACATTTCACCCCCCCCCCCCCCCCCACACACACACACAAATCATAGATAAAAATCTTTGAAAACTAAACCATGCAAAAAGGCACAAGTACACAGTAAAAAAAAAAATAATTTTTAAATTATAATAATAAACAGATAGCATTTGTATAGCGCAAATCCCTGCTCAACAGCAAGCTCTATGCGCTTCACAATCTATACTATTTCCCCTGCAGACCTGAGAGCATTCTGAAACAACCTCAACTTCCCGGGAAGCATACAGTGCAAGCGGCCATTTATAGGCGCTAAAACACTAACATACTGACAAGATCTTTCGCTGTCTATGGCCGGGTACCCATTCCCACCTGGGTGAAGTGAGGAAAATTCGTGCAAAGTGCCTTTCCCACGGGCACAACGTCGGGCCCGCAGCTCGAACCCGCAACCTCACGATTATGAGTCCGGTAGCCTAACCACTAGGCCACTGACGCCACAACAAGAATAAAATTAATTGTCATTTGTAAAAATACTATATTTCATGTCCAACAATCTAGCTCGTTTCAAACAGTTCATACAGAGATCATAATGGTATTTTCAGGTCTTTCCAATTCAAATTGCAGAAAAATATTTCACAAGAACGCATTTCATTCTCAAAATGAAAATTGCACATAATTTATCTAAACAAACCCACCCCCCACATATAACACTGAAACTGATCGTTTCCTGTGGCTATCACAAAAGTTAATTTATAAAACGTGGTCTTTCACTTGTATTCAATAGGCCATAACCATAACCACTTTGGAGTTGTCATTATTCTTTTTTTTGTTTTTGTTATGGTAAACGTTTTATGGCCCTCATAACTGCAAAAGGTCATATGAGCGCGTGGGACATATTCTCTGAGCTTATATCACTTGATCTATTCATAGTACTGAAAGAACATCCACACACGACACCTCACTGCCACTAATGTGATGAGAGTGACACTTACCTGGCATGCGTTCTGGATGGGGTCTCATGGGACTGGAGGCCTGTAGGAATGAAAGACATTGAAAACCAAATTTAGCTCCAAAGAAACAGAGATAACACAGCGTAACATACTTGTAGCACCACACCAGAAACCCATGGCGCATATACCACTGAGGACAAAGGTGACCAATAAAAGGCAAAGATTCATTCTACCCTTGCTTTATGATTAAAAATGTAAAAAAAAAAAAAAATCAAGTAAAAAGTTTCACTAGCCCTACCTTTAGGTCTGTACCAACAAAAAAAACAACTTACACATATAATATAGACATGATGCAAAGGTATGGCTGACATTCCTTAGCTCCCATCCCCCCCCCCCCCCCCCCCCCAGAAGAATTAAAATTTTTAAAAAAAAGTGTGAAGTAAGCTGCAGGAAAGTGAAAAGCAAAATTTAATTCTTTTTTTCCGTCAAAATGTTTATGGGGCTGGAATTTTCACTCTTAGTCTAAAGGATAATGATAAGCCCAGCAGATATCTACTGCGTCATCTAGTTCTGCTCCTACAAAATTAAAGTGTTAGAGAATTGAAACAACTTGTAAAACAATTGTTAAACAACTCAATTTTCTTTCACTTTTGTTTGAGTAAAGAGAAGCACACCAACATAATAAAGGTCACAGTGAAACCCTCCAACAAGCAACAATTTTCTTTCATTTTTAACCCACAATTTCAAAATCAGCATAAAAAACCCCGACCATCAACAAACTACTCCGTCTGCAGAAAGTTCTGGAACCAACCCTCAAGTCAGAGTGGGTCTGCTGGGATCGAAACACCAAGGACACTTACCATACTGAAAGCCTCTGGCGGTGGACTAGATGCGAGGTAGAACTCCTCATACTCGCTTGAAGCTTTGAAAGGAGAGAAAAGAGAAACTTCACAACCAGACTCTACATACGCCTACAGCATGAAAAATAACTGTCACACAAGTGGTTTAAATGCATTTCCATACACTAAAAAATGTACTAATCAGTGGAAAATTTGCTCTCTCTTTCGGGTTGTCCACCATTAATTTCAGGGCATTACTAATAGCACAGCACAGATAGAAAATTGTACAATGAAGAGTACCTTATTTGGTTGTACTGAAATGCATTTTAATGCATAATGCAAAACAATAAAATTTGTATCCAGTAGCAACAAATGGAAAAGAAGCAAAACATTTGTAAACTACATAGCCATATATGAAATGAGCAGAGTCCAAAAACATTCAAACAAGGATGGCCATGAGGTACACAAGTTCAGGTACAAGCAATAAATGATTAAAAACACGCTACAACACCTCCCCCTCCCCCCTGATCACTTCCCCTTTCAGAGAACACAAATATACAAATGCATGGATAACCTAGAGAAGTGGGTTTTCAAAACACAAGTCTTTGAACATATGCAGAAAGCTAGATATTTATGACTTTCTCCACAAAAAGCTCTGTACTACATCACAGGTGTGAAAATAGTATGAATGAATGCACCTGCCTACCTACTCTAATTATAACTGAAAATTTAGAACTCTTATTTCACCTTTATCAAGCATGAGCTGGTTATCCAAAATGAGATGATATGCTATATACAGCTGGTCATGTGGGTTATCTGTAAGCAAAGCTCGGTGAACTTCCGTTTCTTCCACGCTGAATTTCTGTGGAGATATAAGACATGGAAATAGAAAGTCGGTTCCCTGAGCAAAGCAATGCCATCTGGTTCAAAGACACAATGGATACAACAAAAAGCTACGTTGGAAAAGCTCACTAAACACAGAATATGCCACGTTTTAGCCACAATCTATCATTAGCACGACTAAAGACATGAAACAATTTTCCTTTAAAATAATACAAAATATAAAAATGGAAAAAAAAATCTCACGTCACAAATCTCCCTGACAATCTCTGTGTTGACAATGGAGGCATCATGGTCTTGTGAAGATGGGAACAGATATTCTGGAAGTTCCATTTTAAACCACGGATCCTCTCTGCAATGGACATAATTCCAGACATTAACATTCTGTTGATTTTAAATGAACAATAGATTATGTACAGGAAAACAGTAACAAGGTACGAACTACTGCAGTCATGTTTTACTAAACCTTGGAGTTATTTTACGCAATTTTTTCCTACCCAATAAACTTCTACTACATTTTCCATCCATTTCATGCATCATGTTCATATCTAGTGTTAATAATGAGCAGGGGGCTCTTGTGGCCTAGAGGTTAAGGTGTTGGCCTCTCATTCAAAGGTCCCAAGTTCGAATTCGGATAGCGACCGAAAAATGTTCTCTAAAATTGTCTCCTTTCACCTCCTGTCCTGCTCTCTAGCAATATTCTGTTGTCTCCTCTTTCTGCCCCCACCCCCTAACCTCCTTTGCCCCCTCCTCTGGGCTCCTGACTCTTTCTGCAGCCTTTCTACTGCTACTCCTTGGCTCCTTCTTATTGCTGTCTTTCTGCCACACCCCTGATCTTCTGGTAGGAAATATCTACACCTAGCCTTCTCGGACAAGGGCGAAAAATCTTGGAGGGCCCGTGTGCAAGTTGCGCACGTTAAAGATCCCTTGGTGGTCTAAAATTGATAAGAGTAGGCTTTGGCTGTCACCCGGGCAAGATTCAAAATTTCCTTCCAACTGAAAATATTAGGTGTGTCCCGTGCGCTCGTATGACCTAATGCAGTTGCGAGCGCTGTAATACACTTACATTAAAAATAATTTTTTCAAAATAAATAAATAATGATGAGCCTTCTTTATCCCATCTTTAAATACCTTTTTCCTGTCATTTTTCTTATCACCCATAAAACCTACCGCATATAAGAGAAAAAAAATAATTCTGGTCTTTAAAGAGTCAAAAGATTCCTTATTCACGAGGAACAGAAGGAAAACATACCGGATCTCCTTCATCGTTGCTCGTTTGACAGGGTCCACTTGCAGCGTGTGGCATAGAAGACTAACCACTTCCTTATTAAGGTATTCAGGAATGGCAAATATACCAGCTGTAAAAAAGATTTTTTTTTCATACTGAAGCACTGGCAGAACAAAGAAAACTACAAAGTTAGTTTGTGAAATGATATGACAAAAACAAGCCTCCCACAACAACAAAACAGCGACCACCCCCTCCCCTCATTTAAAATCTAGCACTTAGCAAGACCTTTAACACCCAAATATCAAAAGAGTGGAAGTGGAAAGACCAACACATACTAATTGCAGGAACTTGACGAGAAAGCAAATACTCTTCTATACAGGACCCCCCCCCCCCTTCAGTCTTCCTAGCAGAAAAATAATGTCATCAAATGCATAAATATTAACCGATAATGCTAACAAGAAATCCTTGAGAAACCGTTGGAAACAGTAAAATCTGAGGAATCCTACAATTTAAAAAAAAACCCACAGAATTAATTTACCCACTAACTAAATCAGCCACAAATTATATCTCCAAAAGAAACTCCCAACCCACTCCACACAGGTGTAAGCCCTCACCCTCCCCATTAGTAAAAAAAATTAAAATAAAACCAGCCCCAAAACACCCCTACTAAACAATGCATCCCATAAAAATAAAGACAAAATAGTTTGTGTGCGACAAACTTGGTGTAAGTAGATAACTCTACAAATATACAAAAGTCTTACATTTGATTTTCCTAAACAAGGTCGGAACATGCTCATCATCAAAGGGAAGCTGAGGAATGAAAATAGTAAAATCTTTGCGATACAAAAATTAAAAAACCCACACAATTCTATAAAAAAAAAGATTAAGAGTATAAAACTGGTTAGATTCCAAAAATTACTCAACACTGATCCTTAATTCTTTCCCTTTTTGGACTTGAGCTCCTGTCAGTCATGCCAAGACAAACCCATCAACAAGAACATTTTTCTTACTCAATCTCCTTTCAAAAGTCACCTACCATGCATTTCCATGGTACTCTAACATATCAAAATCATATAACAAAATTAAGGTAACGAAACAGGTCTTAACATGAACATGTGTTTTGAAATTGAGAAACCCAGACAATACAATAAAATTTATAATTCAAAGCAACAAGGCAACAACTAAAAAAAAGAACTATCTCGCATCCCTGTAGACATTATCTGACAAAAAATTGTAGGACCAAGACAAAATTGTATTTTTTAACAAATCAAACTATCAAACATACTATAAGAACTCTGAATTTCATATTGAGCAGAAATGAGAGTTTGAAAAAGTAGAATACAAATTTCAAAAAAATCGGGGCACACATCTGAAAACATCTCTGTTTGTAAGTGTTGCTGTCGTAGATATTATATGAACACAAACAAGATAAAAAAAAGGGGACACTTAGCAATACTAGTCGTTTTCCTTTTTTTCTTTTCTTTGGTTTGTAATTAAATAACCACCAAGAAACTTTATGAAATGAACATAAAAAGTATCTCTAGTCCATTTTACCAAATACCTGAAAGAACATTTGCCACCATGGGTCTCAACTCAGAATTCTAAAAAAGGAGGAACTTTTCGGGTGATCGCCACAGAAGCCCATTTTTGCGAAACACCCATTATTATTATACTGTTGAACCCTAGAAAGCTGAAATAAAAACCATCAATTTATTAAAGAAAGGTTATTTCACACCAATTTGAGGGTTTGGGAGATAATTTCAAGTAAGAGTCATGTAACAAATATTTGCATTCTTGATTACGTACAGAAAATGGCGCCTGGGGTCTTGTGCAACTTATTTATATTTTCCCTTCATCATATTCGCCTGTATATATAAACTATATAAAAAGGAATATTGTTTTGAGCCTAGAACCAGAATATCGACTGTCATGAGTCATATCATATATAAGCCTATAATAAACGTGAAAGACAAAAATTAATGCTCAAACTCAAAGTAGAGTAGAATAGCCCAAGTATATGTAGACCTATTCAGTGTGAGAGGTGTAAGAACTGTGAGAGGGCAAGATGCAGTGATACTGAAAATCTGCGAATCTTGAACAGAAAGCTAAAATATAGAGATCTAATTTACTGTCACCAATCCAATGAAACGCGAACACTTAGGCCCCAAAGTTCCATAACACGCTTACAAGTTATGACGGTTCCTGATTTCACACAAGGCCTGCACCAATGCACACTTTACTTTGCAGAGAGCTGTAGATCTAGATCTAGTAGTAATCAAAATTCTAAACATTAAACATTTGCTTTCAGTTTCAGTTTGTTTGTCCCCTGGTGTTGCGTCCAGCCCTCCCCCTATCCCCGAGTGCGTCTTTAAAAAAAATCAATAATCTCCCCCCATTCCTGAGTCCTGTACTTCCAAGCGCTCAGAACGCGTGCAGGTTCATTGACCGGTCACAATGGCGAGCCCGACAAGACGCTTGTACAACTTTCTTTTCGGTTTTTTTTTTTTTTTTGGTGTTACCCCCACAAGTGACAGCACAGTGACAAATATTGATTTATTTTCATGGCGACACCACGTTTGTAGTGCCAAACCTGCATGTTACAATAAATGTTGCGTTATCAGACAATTACTGACAAACTTCTGGGTGGTAGCAAAAGCGAAAGTAGATCTTGATTTTCCAGTCGAGCTTTGGTGACACAATTCCGCTTGCCACCAAAGCCGCCAGTTCGCGTGAAACGTACTCTAAGAGCCGAATTAATATCACAATCGCGACCGGCAGAAATGAACTTAAAGATGTTATTGGATTTGGTTTTCAAATATTCGAGATCTTTTATGTATTTTCCCGGGTCTCTGCGATTTTTAAAAAAATTCTCGGGGCCTGGCAGTCACTCTGCTCCCAACAACTCTCTTTATGATAGGCCCACTGTCGCGGTAGCAGAGGAAATGGCAGTAGCGGAAATCCGCTAAATAGCGGACTATTGAGACCCATGGCCACACAAAAAAATCTAAATTTTCAAATCTCGATTGGTATATTATACTTGTAAGCATAAATATTTCGGAATGCACAAAATGACTGGGACCTCTAAGTTTCATTAGAACATAATGCCCAAGTAACACACATAAATAAATGCACACAAGAGTTTTCCACTGAACAGTGAAAGCTGTCATTTCTTATATATTAAAGAGAACTAGCGGGAAAAAAACAAACAACTCCCCCCCCCACAAAATCCAAGGCCCATGAAGCAATGAAAATTATGTCTATAAACTCGCGCTGTCAACATCACTGTCAACCACATCTGTCATTTGATTCCTATGAAGATTTTATATCCTTTGTTTAGAATTGATAGAGTAAAGAACAAAGTTGGATCAATGTGAGCAGTACAGTTTAAGGCTTTTAAAAAATCTCAATCAGACACCAGGATAAGCTTCACTTACTGTGCCACAAAGGAGGGCATACAGAATAACTCCGCAGCTCCAAATGTCTACTTCAGGTCCTGCATAAAGTCTGTAAAGAGGTAAAAACAAATAAATGAGGTAATTTTGGTATCTTACACTGGGTCGCTTCTAAGCACAGGGGGGCTAATCCGAAAAATGCTGTTTTGAAAAAATCGAAGGTAAAGTTTTTGCCCCTTGTTCAGTTTCTTAAAAAGAGAAGGAGAGTCTTCTCTATAACCAAATAAATATACACACCAATGAAACCAAACTTCTGCTATAGGTAGGGCAAAGTCCACTTTTGGTGTAGGTCAAGATTTCTGGAAACCCCCGAAATCTGGGTCAGCCTGCTTGTCCGTAAAAGTGACCACTTGTAAGCATAAATATTTTGGAATGCACAAAATCACTGGGACCTATAGCTTCATAAGAACATATTGCCCTAGTAACAATACCAGCCAAACCCTACAAGCAACAGCTTGATAGTAGTCAAATAAGTAACATTATAAAATGCGCGGATGAAAAAGTTGCAAATTCTTATTACTGCAACGCGTAAATCCTAAAAAATCCAAAGGGTAAAACTTTCTTAGAAATCAGCAGTTTTTCCTTTATGGTCCATTTCTTTTGTTAGTTCATGTGGAGATGGAATAGTGGATCTCAGCAGCATTAATCCAAGTAAAAGTGTTATCTTGCCGTCTTTCTCCAATGAGCATGACATTGTTAGATCAGCCCATTTACAATTCTACTGCGCACTAGAAAGAGAAATGTCCCCCCTTTGGGAATGGCCTAAAGACACTTCAGTCAGTGGCACCGCCCCGGGGGGTTCCAATATGAATAAAACCTAAAAGCTGATATATTATGAATCAGTTAACAGCAAACATCACGACAGCATAAAACAGACTTGTATGTCTCTAAGTCTTGATTAACAGTAAAGTTGTTCCCGCATTCGATCCAGACACTGGGGATTGCCATTGTTAGTGAAACAACTTCCCGGGCCTTCGGCATATTGTGGTAGGGTGGCCAGTTCCTTTCTACGCCGCCTTTACTTCCCCAACTCGAAGTCAGGTACCCATTACTGCTGAGTTGGCAGGAGGCAGCGAAAAAAATCTGTGTCCGAAACGAGGTTCGAACCCGAACTTTCCGTTTCGGAGACGAGCGCACTAACCACTCCACCACAGCACCCTCTAGGATTACGAAAAATAAAAAAAGATGTAATATACATAGTATCTACATTCCCTTTGTCTGTAACCGACATTTTTAGTTACATTCAATCCTTTTAAAGAACTGCTACATTCTTTTCTACATGAAAGTAACTAAAGATTAACCCTTTGAGCCATCAACCCTGATGCTTCCCATTCCTGGACTACTTATATGGAAGCACCGTCTTCAATGGTTCAAAGGGTTACAGTACCCAAAAAAATGTTTTAAAACAACAGTGCACTTCAAGTTGCAACACAAGCTACACAGTCACTTACTTTCCCGAAATAACCTCAGGTGCAGCATAATTGGGAGATCCACAACTTGTACGTAAAAATTCTCCATCAGTCATCATATTTGAAAGCCCTACACAGAAACAAACGAAGACATCATTTTTCCCATGGCATAAGTATAGAGCATAAGACATTCAGCTTCAAACTTTTCTTCATCTTGCCAGACAGCTTGAAAAATACCCAAAAACCTTTCAATGATGATTTAGAAAGCTTTAAGTCGTATGGCAATTTGTTAAAATCACGAACAGATATGTAAAACACCATCTGAACATTCCAATTTCCTCTTGATAATGATAAACTTATTGACATTCTTCAACATCTACAAGTTATACAGGACTAGTAATACTCTTTTCCTAAGGTATCATTATTAAATCATAGTGCCTTCTGTATGTGATCAATTAAAGACAATATAAGTTACAAAATGCCAAAGGGTGGCTAAAAATGCTCTAGATCAAAGAAGACCATCATTAGCACTCTGACATCAAAGGCCCCCGATGGGCTGAATGCTGTTTTTAGACACTGGAAAGACACTTTATGTACTCCTTACCAAAGTCAGCAATTTTGACATTTTTGCGCGAGTCCAACAGGAGGTTCTCTGGTTTGAGATCTCTGTGGACTACCATGTGTCTGTGGCAGTAGTCCACTCCGGAAATTATTTGCTGAAAAAACTGCCTCGCTTCTCCTTCTTTAAGCTGAGAGAAAAAGAGAACAATTAAAATCACAAACCACTCGTTGAATGACCGACAAAGAAAAAAAAAAGGTAAAATTTCAGTCGCATGACTGCAAAAAATTTCAAATTCCTAAAAACATTAAACCAAATTATGACTCCACTAGCTGCATACTCACTTTATCAATTAATTTCAAGACAGATAATTCAAATAAAGGAAACTTAATTTTAAAAGGAATGGTTAGTGCATTTTGTCAAGTCACGACACATGCAGCCTCTGATCTCTCAATGTTCAGCCTCTTTATTGCATCTCTTTTTAGTTACAAAACATAAAAAGGTAAATTGAGAATATCTCTAAATTAAATACGAGGGGGAGTAAAAAAGTAAGGCAAGTTCCCTTATAACTTAAAGAAAAAAGAACGCACTGGCAACTATCATACCTCAAATTGAAGGGGAACATCTGAGGATCAGATTTCTATTCTCAACATATTCTCCAATATTTTCAATAGCCACTGTCCTCCTTTTACTAAATCCACATATGCAAGCTTTGTAAAACTGAGCAGGTTGGCCTCGGGGGTACAGCAGTCTTGATTTCTTCATCGTTATGGTAGTGTTGAACTCTCAATTGTTCTTTTCTAGGACCGAAAAGGTGGAAGTCTGAAGGAGCCAAATCAGAAGAATCAGCTGGGGGTGACAGTGCTTTCCACCCAAACGGGGTGATTGTCTCCCTAGTTCTGGTATTGTCATAGTGCATTGTCATTGGGCAAAAAAACCTAACCTCTTTCCATTTTCAAATTGTCTGACTCGTCGAAATTTTGCTTTCAGTAGTTTCACAGTTTCAATGTAGGCTTCAGAATTGACAGTTGTTCCTCGTGGTAAAAAGAATACGTGAGAAACACGTTAGGAACATTTAACAACATGGTTGCCATGATTTTTCCTGCTGATTCTTCGGGATGATGCTTGTCCGACAAGCAAATGGACATTTCTTCCTCTTCTTCCGGTCCATTGCTCAAACACCTGATCCACTTGTATAAGGTGCCAAAATCTAGAACTTGGTCCTTGTAAACATTTTAAAGTCTCTTTTGAATGTTACCGGTGGATTTTTCTTCTAGAACAAGAAATTAAATCACAGCTCTTTACCTCCGACAGACCTCCAAGGGGGCAGCCATTTTGATGTGACGTCGTACAGGCGAAAATCAAAGTTAAATTTTTACAGTTTGAGTTCAAAAGTACATGCAAGTACTTGTGAGCTGAATTTAATTTATTTTGAAGCAATATTGCGCAAAATAGCCAACAACTTGCATTACTTTTTTACTCCCTTCGTAAATCTGACTTTACAGCATACAAAGCTAATTTGTTTAAATCAGACCTTTCGCTCTTCAATGAAAACAACCCCAACTAAATAAATCCTAGACAAGTCAACTTACTCTCCCATTTTTCACAATGTAATCAAACAGTTCTCCACCAGCTACGTGTTCCATGACCATGAATATGTCAGTAGGAGTTGAGATCACTTGATAGCTGCATAGAAAAAAAAAATTATTGAAAATCAGTCATACTTTATACACACTTACTGTAGTAGTATCTGGAGCAGACATTTTTGCCCCCCCCCCCCCCAAAAAAAAAATAATTTTTTAAAAAATGAACGAAATGGGATAAAATCTGAATTCCTATCAATGCCTTTTACAAAGTGTAAAAAAACGTTTAAAAATCCAACATTACTGCAATGACAGAATATTATAGCGCCTATTCCCACTGCAGAATGCAAACTCATCATCACTCAACGAATCTAAGGACAGAAAAAGCACTTTGTGAGATTTAACACCAACAAAACACACACATAAAACTTCCATGTCTATACACATTCTCACTTAATGACTTATATACAAAATTTACTGGCAACGGAAAGCGTTGAACAAATGTGTCTTAGACTTTTCTTAAACTCTCTCTCTCTCTCTCTTTCCAATGTTTTCATGCACATTTCTTCTGGGAGGGAATTCAAAATTTGTTAGGAAAAGGAGAAAGAAAAAGCTCTTCCAGCAAACTTGTATATCTACACTTAAGGCACTCTCATGAGATTCTCCGCAGATTCTATCCCAAATTTCTTGATGGTAACATATTACTCATTGTCGAGCACTTGTGACATAAAAGAATACATTTTTTAATCAGTTCTAGCTTTAACTGAAAGTCAGTCTAACTTTACTTTATCAATAACCAGGGATGTAAACATGTTTTGAAAAAAAAGCCGGACTGACTGAAATAAGAATACAGTGAGACTAAATTATATTTGTTTCTTTCCCTCTATTACAACAAATAATCACTATTTAGTTATATATTATATGTATTGTTTATAGTAGACTTTTGTTAAAAGCTGAGGCCCAAATGGCAAGTCGGCCGAATTAAGCGGAAAAAGCCGAAGTTTTACATCCCTGAATAAAGGTGTGATGTGTTTATTTTGGGTTTTCCTTAATAAAGGGAAGACCTGCCGGGTCAGCGATCCCTGAAAATATCTATAAAACTTTTCAAAATATCAATTTTGTTGTTGTTTTTTTAATACTAAAAATCATTCTTCAACATCTATTCTATTGGGTCACAAAAGCGCAACTGTTGAAAAAACACCCTATGTGACCTAAAAGGGTGTTTGAAAAGTGTAGTAGTAGTAGTATAAGGTTTTACGGCGCTCGCAACTGCTAAGGTCATATGAGCGCGCATTGAAAAGTGTTGAATTAAAAATCCTCTTTAAAAATTCCTACAATTACATGAAAGTGAATGGAAGTAATTCGTTGTGAAAATTTCTCGGGAGTGTACGTCTCCCCTTAATGAATGACTTCCATTCACTTTCATGTAATTGTTCAAGAAGTTCATAGGCAAAGAAAGTGTATTACAGGTGGATTTGATGACTTTTTCTGGAAAATGGGTATCTGTGGTGGCCATCTTAGATTTTCAAACCAGTTTCTTAGTGTGAATGAAATTCATAGAAAATATTGAAACTTCAGCCTGAAATTTGGCGAACAAGTAAAAACCTATGGACTGTGGTGCTATAACAGGAATTATATCTTTAATCATAAAAATGACTTGTTCGTCTAATGCTGATTAGAATATTCTAGAGCAGCTCTAGAGTAACATCCTAATCAGTATTATATTAGATTAACAAATCACAGTCAATACCAAAACAAATCTTTACTTCCAAACTCTTTCTTAAATATAAAAGTAAAAAGTTAGATTCATAAAACACTTTTTTTAATGGAATTAACTGAAACTATTTTCTATAAAAATATAAAACAAAACAACAAACAAAATAACTCACAGTTTGATTATATGAGGGTGTCGAAAGAGCTTGAGATTCTGAATTTCTCTGCGAATCTTTCCAACAACATCAAGATTCTTTATCTTCTGTCTGTTCAGGATCTTTACAGCTACTTTATGACCAGTTAACTGGTGAGTAGCAACTGGAAGAATGAAAACACAAACATATCACTGAAATAAACACATACAAGAGAACTGTCAACAGGGTGTGGGTTTAATATATGCCACCCTTTAATTAATAATATTTAAAAAAATACAAAACCAGAGTTTATTCAATCAAAATCTACACATGGAAACCTTTCTGTTTCAACATTTTAAAGAAAAAAATGGACACTTTTTGGGTGCAAATATATAAAACCTGTTAAAAATTTTGTACAGTGGAAATATCTTGCCCACTAACGCTGAACGTCACAGACCGTTGTTTACACGGGGTGTGTGTGTGTGTGTGTGTGTGTGCGCATGTGGTGTTGTGTGTGTGTGTGCATGTGGTGTTGTGTGTGTGTGTGTGTGCATGTGCGTGTTATTTGTGTGTGTGTGTGTGTGTGTGTGTGTGTGTGTGTGTGTGTGTGTGTGTGTGACGAGTTTACAGGATACTTTTTTTTCAGTGAACTCGCCACACGTTCTTCAGCTGAGTCGACTTCACTGTGGACATGGTAAGCTATCGGCGGATTTCACGGTAAGGGTGGGAGAAACAACATAGGGTTTATCTTTTAAATAAAATTCTCCTGGTGTACTGTTTGGTGTTCAATTTGTGTCGTTTTGTTTGTTTAAGAGCCCAATAAACAAGAGAATAAAAAACAAGTATTGACTTTGTTTATTTTGTTTGATATTTTGCGTAACAGTGTCACGGACGTAAGGATTTGGACTTTGTGCGTTTCCGGATGTTCACGAGTCTGAAAATTTTCACTTTAAATGGCATATTATGCTAGATTTTCTCCACAAATAGCTGGAACAAGCAAGAAATATATTTTTCTAAGGTGATAAGAAAAAAAAAAGAAGAAATCTAGCATCAGTTTGAAATGCCAATGGACAGAGTGAAATGTTTGTCAAAAATTGCGTAAGTAAGTCCGACATTTTGACGCTACATGAAGTGCCAAAGTTTCCTCCAAACTCGAAACGAATTAAGTTTTTATGCTCAGGCTACGCGATATTCATTTCTACATGGGTTTTAGCCGTAATTTGCGAAAATTGAAGAAATTATTAGTAGATTCGAAAGCCGTTTGTGACGTACCCCTCCCGCTGAGTCTCCGGCATCTTACAATCGAACTCGGCATTTCTCAAGAGATTTACGGAAAATCCTGAGGATTTTCTGTGCAGCCGCGGCTAACAACTACTTCCGTTTGGTGCCATTCTTTTTTACTACTTCCGTTTGGTGCCATTCTTTCATTCTTTAGCATCCTTTCGATGAGGTCTTGTTTTCCAAGTTTTTTCTTGCACTAAATGTCTAACGTTCGAAGCATACCAATGTCGGAACCCATTACAGGTCCAACCCAATTGCACGCGTTTATTTGTCATATATTATGTTTATATTGATTAAAAGACTGCAACACAATGTGTAGGAAGTAAACAAATGACGTAAGGGACAAAAATAGCAAGTTCTTTTATGATTGTCTTGTTTGAAGCCGATGAAAGCTTTGAGTCGTCCAGATCGGTGCCGACGATGATTTCGTGGAATTATAGGCTGTTCGAATGTTGGGAGACATTTTGGCAACTGATTTCTTTTTCCTTTTGTTATTTCCTTTTTCTATTGTTTATTTTTATTTTTAATATTTTCATTTATTGTGTACATAATTATTTTTATGGCTAGTGAATTCGATAAAATGGATTATTATACCAAATTTGGTGATATTCACGGATTGTGTTGTGCGCACCAAGGTAAGGTTACATTTCATTACATAGGCCTAACTTTTTTAACAAGCCTTTGCAGTCTCTCTAACTCTAACTAACATTTTTAAACTTCTCTTAAACTCTTTATCTCCGAGGGAGGGTAAACCCACTACTCCAGGGCTCTTTTTTTATGCTAAATCTAAACATGACAAAACCGTCATTAACTCTTTCCGGGCGTAGTTTTTTGGGGGTCTAGACAAAATCAACTTGTGGATCGATTTGGCTATGCAGGTGGTGTACAAAATAACTTTATAGAAGCATTATAACCATCACTCAAAACATACATATGATATGATATGTCAAATTGAAGGACATTGAAAGAGGAATATACCCCAACATGAAAAAAGGGTTAATTTTGAACATTAGTATGCATTACAAGGGTTAGAAAAGGCGATGGTGATGACAAAAATAAATTTTGACACAAAAAATTACATTTAGCAAACATTTGAAAGCAAATCAGAATAGCTATCTTATCATATACAGGCCAAAAGCGTAATCCATGAATTTCTGAATGCGCAGCTTTTTATTTGAAAGTAACATTCCAATTTTTGTTTGAGTTATGATATTTATACTGAGTCTGGTTACATCGTTTTGTTGCTGCAAGACCGCAATTTAAACTAATTCACTTGTCTTTACCCAAATCCACACTTTGACAAAATGAAACTAAATGTATTCGTTTCCTAAATCCTTTCAGAGTTTTTCAAAAACAATAAAAAGCAATTATAAATGACAGATCGTGTTAAAACGAAACAAAACTGAGGCACCTTATCATAGCCGCAGCGATACGTCTGCAAGGGGTGTGGAATTGGGCGGATATAGCCTATATCGGCGATGCGTCCGGAAAGAATTAAATCGAAACTAGCAACCCTATTTAGATAGTTCTTCATCTAATGAATGAACTTCAAGTGTAGTGTAAGAGACCTGTTTTCAGCAATAAAATAATAGCTAAAAACTAATTTATTTCGAAGTTGCCGTAAAGGAATGCGCCTGCGCCGCTGGCTCACTGGCACAGCGGTTCTCACCGCGAGCCGCTGAGATAAAGAGTTAAAAGGCCTTTCCAATGATAAAATACATAACCCTTTGAAAAAGTTCAAAATACTGAAGAAAAACTGGGAAAGTGGGAAACTTGTGGATCCTCACCGTGAAATCCGCCTGATTAACGATTAACTGCGATTTGATATTAAGACCACCCGTATCAATAATATAATAATATCACACTTTTAAAGCATATCTATGTGTAATTTGATGTGACTACCGTCTTCACCACTGGGCAGTAGGCCTAATGGCTGGGTGACTGCCAACCCGGTTTCTCAATTTTCCAGGGGGCTCATCCATTTTCCAGGGGCATGTTACACAAAAATGCGATGACAGTGCATTCTCCATTTATACATGATACACACACACACACACACACACACGCATGTAGGTACATTATATCCAGTCAACAACATGTCAGTGTGGCACTGGGATACTGTGTGACTTAAGTATTTCAGTCTGTTCTTACTTAAATTTATATTTTCCCCTCATCATATTTTAGTCATTTTTATTGCTTGATTGCATGACAGAAGAATAGAAACAGAAAAGCAAACATCTAAGAAGTGGTATGACATTGTGTTTGCATTATGAAAGCCTACTCCCCCCTCTTGGGAAAGCACACACTTGGACTCGTCTGGTTTGCTCTGTTTGGAAAAGTGAGGCATTAAGATTGTTTTTAAAGAGTATGGTACTTATTTAGTCCAGTCTGGGAAGATAGTCCCGTTTATTCATTGTTATCGTTCACGCGTGAGTGTGCGCGCGTGCATGTGTGTGTGTGTTGAGTGTGTGTGTGAGAGAAAGAGAGAGAGAGAGGAGGAGGGGGGGGTAAATATCTGTTACATTTATAGTATGAATAATATATCACAATGAACCCAAGAACCTTATCCGATTTGGTTCTCAAGTGTTCGAGAACTTTTATTTTCCCGGGTCTTTCAAAGAGGCAGCTTTTACAGAATTCATCAAATTCCCGGGGCCCCCAGAATTCTTGGGGCCTGGTAGTCACCCTGTAATAAGCTAAGCCATCATTCATTGGGTCACAATCATTCAAAACAATGACAACAATTGACCGAATGCTCTTGTTTTGACTTGCGGAAAAAGTTGGTCACTGTAACTAGATCTAGTCTATCTAGAGGATTCTACTAAGAAAGTGGCTATTCTCACCCGCCCGGAAGTTCTCGCAAGATCAACTCCTCCCCTCTTCTCTCTCTCTCTGTCTCTTTCTGAATACTGTCCATCGGTGTGGACGATCAAATTGACCAAAACAAAGTTAAAAAATGATGTTAAAACACAAAGTAAATTAATTTGGTTGTTTACAAAGATGCTACGGCTATTTAACTTTTCGAATCGAGCCGAACTACGCGGGTCGCCATTTTGTTTTGCCTGGAAATTCTCGCGCTACTCCTCTCTCTCTTTCTCTCTCTCTCTCCACTGCCCACAGACAAAATTGTACGCTTTTAGTAGGCTACAGTTGTAATGGAACGTTTGTTCATGGCACAGAATTCTACAATTTTTCTGTTATCACAGTGTAGAATTCTGTGGTTTAGGGTGAACGCAAAATTTGGTGAACGCGCACCGGGTGAGAATAGCCACAAGACTCGCCTGCACTATTCTCACCCCGGGTGAGAATAGAGGTGGCCTTCTACTAAACTAGAATTAGATTTCTAATTGGCTAGTCTAAGTCTAAGTCTAGTTACACAAGTCTTATTACTCTTAAGTTAATGTAACCTAACTGCACGCAAAATAAACAGTAAATATGAGACATGATAACTTTATCGTGTTTGATTCCGGAACAATGAGAGACAAAATACAAAATAAAACAAAGACAGCACGCTGCACAGTCAGAGGACATGTCGATGCTTCTTGATGTTGTGTTGAAGTTGAGTGTATATTATATTTCTCTCAGCCCTCAGCCCTAAAAAGAGATAGATTCTACGTCACCGGGATTGTAAAATAAGCACATGTAGGAATGAGGAAGTGACATTTAAAGGAACAACTTACTTTTAACTTTTCCAAAGGTTCCAACTCCGAGAGTGTCACCTAAAATATAATGGCCAATTTTCACCTGGGCTTGCCCAGCAGCCGACCCACTTTTGTCCGCCATGATGACAGACTGACCTCGACTCGACTCGACTGATCACGGAGAAAAACAAAATTCGTCACACAGGATCAGCAAGCCAGGGGCGTGAAGCGAGTTGTTGTAATAGGCCTAGCCTACTGTATTTAAAATACACATCTAAGAAAAAGTCACATCTTTTATAAATTCACTTTCTAATTTTCCATAACCAATATTTTTTAATAGATATAAACATTTGGATTCTGAAATTAAAACAAACAAACCCATGTTTAAATAAGATATAATCTTAAAACGCAACCGTCTTATTTGGCAGTTCTTATTCTCCCATGGGAAAGGAAGGTCAAGGTTAAAAACGAGAAGGCGTGGTTCCGGTAGGATATTTGTCAACAATAAACAATAAACAGTACAGAAGAGTCGACCTAGCCCCCTGACCTCTGCTCATATAATTACGACAGTATCATTAGGCCTAGGCCTATTTAATTTTATTTTACACAAACGAAAATTTTAATTGTTTTATGTCTTATACTGCACAATGGCACAAAGTAAAAAGAACATAAAACATAATTTACGTTAGAGTCTGAACTTGTCTGATTAATTGTGAGTAGGCCCTAGATCTAGATCTATAATATATATAATGATGTTAATGAACTGCTGTATTTTGCTGCTGCTGCTCCCCCTCCTCTTTCCCCCTCCTCCTCCCCCTACTTATACTACTACTACTACAACTACTTAACCCTCTAGAACCCACTGACCCATATATGCCATGGCACACAACTAAACTGACCCTCTAACTCTAATACAGGTAAAAGTGCGTTTATTGGGGCGAACCCTACCATTTAGTAAAGATTTATAACTAAACTCTGCAATTATCTTGTCTGATTGCCCCAAGTCCGTGAATGGAAGACATGATGGGTCTCCCAGTTTCCTCAAAGTCACTGAGTGGTCAAGTCTTTGTTATTGCCTCTTTTCAACCCCCAACAGAAAATCAAGGTAAGCACAATTTTGTTTCTTTACGTCTCTTTTCTGTTAAGATAAGTCCAAATATTATGCTCATAACGTTTTTGAAGCGTTGAAATATCATTTATTGCATAATTAATGTCACTGCCAAATATGGCACATTGGGCAGGTAACTCCTGAATGTGTGCCAGATATGGCACAGTGGGTCTTTGTGGAGCAATTTGTCGGCGACTTCTGTTCTACTACTGATTTTATGTGCTCTGCTAGTATGACTGTAATTCATTCTGAATTTTGAAATTTAATCATTGATGTATTTGTATGTTGACCTTTACAATACTGATATATTGGTTTGTTCTGTGTAACAGTTATATAATAGGTGTCTTACGTATTTACCTTTTCAGAATGTCCCCTCACCACTGCATCAAACATGTGTGACTATATCTCCGCTGATGACAGTAAATTTGAACTCTGGAGACGAGTACCTCCCATCTGATACATGTAGTGGGGACTGTGGCGGAAGTCACTTAGAGCAGCTGTCCACCTCAGCAAAAAGGCCAAAAACGCCAGTCTCATAAAGAACAAAAAACCCCACATTGAAATTACGCTACAGCCAACTCCGCATAGATTCTTCTGACTCAGAAGATGACAATACACCATTGGCCCAGCTGAGGTCCAGGGGATATGATCAAAAGCTTGAAGAGGCAAATGTTTGGAGTTTGGTGGACTGACATGGAGTTTTCCGGGGGGGGGGGGGGGGGGGGGGTAACAAGCCCCACCCAATGGCGCTGTGAAGGCCCCATTCCAGTAACAAATGAGGCAATTGGAAACGTTTTCAAACCAATTGCTTACTCCGTGCAGAATTTCGGGAAGGAATTGAATGTTCAAAAGAAGGATGTCGAAACTTTCTTAGGATTTTATCTCCGTATGGGATTGACCCAGTCCCACTTTTTCCGAGTAAACTAGGAGTCGGATAAGCACTACCCTCTTGTCGGGGACTTGATGCCACGGAATAGATTCATGACAAGAACAGACAGTTAACATTTTGTAGACAACGTGTCGATTCCAGAGGCATCTCGAGATGCTGACAAACTGTTGAAACTTCTACCTTGGTATGAGAGCTTGCAGGCAAACTTCCAGAAAGTTCCACAAAAGGAACAAAGTGCTGTGGATCATATCGTGGTGCCCTTTAATGGTCGTTCCTCAGTGAAGCAATACAGGACAGGAGAAGCAAACCCCACTGTTGGCTGTTTATTATTGAAGAATCCTGGACCATCCATGCCCCGTACAATCAAAAGAAAAAATCCTGCTCCAGGTGTGGACTCTGATGGAACTGACCGCCTCCCAAAGTGGACAGTGCGGCAACGATGCAAAAATATCAACTGCAATGGAAAGTCATCTGTCTACTGAAGGAAATGCGACGTGCATTTGTACCTCAACAGGGATAGAAACTGATTTTTAATGTTTAACAAAATGTGAACATGTTCTTTACGCAGGACCCATTGACCCATATATGGCACACATATTTTTAGACTCCTGTAAAACCCATTGACCCATATATGGCACACAGTGTTACGCAATAACTATCGTATATTTTCCAAATTGTTTTGCTCTAATCAACTTCTTAATACATATCTTGATCACCATATGCTAAGGAATAATTTTTTGGTCATGTATTTCTATGCTTGGGTTCTAGAGGGCTACTACTACTAGTACTGCTGCTGCTGCTGCTGCTGCTGCTGCTGCTGCTGCTGCTGCTGCTGCTGCTGCTGCTACTGCTGCTGCTGCTTCTGCTGCTGCTGCTACTGCGAATTACACTGCTGCTTACTGCTGCCACTAGTGCTGCTTTTGCACTATCCACCTACTCAAGAACTCGATTCCTGAGCTCAGACTCATAGTGTTTTTTTGTTGTTGTTGTTGTTGTTGTTGCTGATGTCTACTGCCCCCCCCCCCCCCCCCAGCAACAACAACATCTACAGCAACAACATAAATTAAAATGGCAAAATCTACAGAGCTGCTAATCGAGGAATTTCCCGAGTACTCGGAGGTTTTGGATTCGAGAGAGTCCTCGTAGGGGCTAATACTCGGTGGACACGAGTACTTGCACACCCTCACTCCAAAGACTGCACAAAACACTGGAGCTGGTGTCTACTCGATTAATCGAAGGCAAGCAGATTTACTACCGAGGAACAGCTCTCACAGCAATTTTTATTCAACATTCTGTCGTTGTGCGTGTGCCGCGTTCGTTGCATTATAATGCCTTTGAAGGACGGCGCGGGGAACCCCACATGCATATATTTAGACCAATGACAATGAGACAGCTCAGGTTTTATCAAAGTGTCGACACGACTCCAAGTCTCCTTGTTGAAGTTGTTTTTTGTTGACACTGTCAGATTACGGGGGTTTTAGGACAAACCTTGGCTTGCATTTGTTTCTTATCTATGCCTCGCACTGCTTGAAAAACACACACAATTACACACACACACACACACACACACACACACACACACACACACACACACACACACACACAGAGAGAGAGAGAGAGAGAGAGACAAAAATAAACTCCTTGGGTTTAAAAGCCCATTGATTGCAGCACTGTATGGGCGCACTGCATGGTTGTACACTTTCTGTTACTAAGAATACATAGGCCTAACACCCGTGGACTTCCACATCCTTATTTAAAGCAATGCTTCTGCTTCAGAGACGGACATACATTGTGTTATCTGCTTGACTATTCTCAGGAGCTGCATATGACCAGGACCTGACTGACGAAAACTGACACCCGTTTCTTCTGCCTACTACACCTCCCTACAATCAATAAGCAAATGTTTGACTGTCTTCAAGAAAAGGTTGCAGAGAAAAGTGTCGCCTGACTGGTGAACGACAACAGTGTATGGGATTCCATGTTTCATTTTGCCATGACGTGTGGAAGGAGTTAACGATCTCTCAGAACGATCACATCGTTCAACTTGAGAAAGGCAGTGTGCATTCGTAGACGAGGTGACACACCGCAGGTTAGTCGGGAGTGGGAGTGGGAGAGTGTTGTAGGTTCTGTCTTGTCATTGTGTTTTACATCTTTTGGTCTCAACAGAATTGCTATCCTCTAGACAAAATCTCTCAAGCTAATTGACTCCGTTTGTTGGTTTTGTAAGAATCTACTATTGTCTTATTAGTCAATAAATAAAGTCAATAAAGACTTGGCGCCAGGTTGAGGTGACTACTGGTAGATTATATTTATTTTCTTGACTCCAATTGGTCATATAATTATGTATCTTTTCTGATTTTTTTAAAAAAATGGTGCTTTTCTCTAAAAGACTAATAATATCATATCGGTGTACTTCTCTTTACGCGAAATAAAGATGCTAAACATGACCTTTCAAATGCAGAGTAGGTACGTAACCGAATGGAAACATCAAGGAAGGAAAAAAACCACCTAAATAACCAGCAACTCTTTATACACTTTAAAAAAAAAGATTTAATGAAGGTGTTTTACCCTCAGGTTGACGAAATTAATATTATATAGGAGGTGGGCTACGAGCCTGCCTGTCATGCAGGGCCAACCCAGACTGAGAGGGACACATGTACAATATCCCAGCAGAAAGACAAAGATACTCGTTAGGGGCTGTTCACCTTTTTGGGGACTCCCGCCCCCACCCTTCTTACACTTTTCTTACCCCCCCCCCCCCCGCCCGTAATATTACATTGTTCGCTTATAAAACTAATAATATGATATGACATTTATATCGCATAAATCTGTGTTACAATCATGGTTCCATGCGCCTTACATAATATTCATGAAGAACATGCATGTTCCGCGCAATTTACAGATCGGCGCAATATTACGCGATTTAACGATCGTATAACTGAGCGGCAATCTTAAGATTGCGCTGCACATTTTAGCGATCGTCACAGAATTCTACACTCACAGCGAATGAGCGATCGCGAAGAGGGAGTTCCGCTTCTATAAGTGTAGAATTCTGTGGCGATCGTATAATTCACTTCCATCTTTATTCTTTTACTCACATCAAGGAACATTCACGTATATTTTTAAAATTGCAAAAACATGAAAATTAGAATTAAAATTAGATATAAAACTGAAGATCTCACAAGAATGATACAATTAAATGATCGTTAAAACGCGCGGCGCAATCTTAAGATCGGTAAATTGCGCGGAACACTTACACAGATATCATAGCCTACGTATGCACATAATAATATGCAGTTCTACATTTACTGAAAAATAACAGAGTACCGGTTGATAATTCAAGGAAAATATTGCATACACTCTTTCTTACTAATAAGGAACAAATTGAGACCTATGTCAATTTCAAAAGCGCCTTAATTACAAATAAAACAAATTACAGTGGAATTCAGGACGAAAAAAGGTGTTGACTTTGAGCAAGGTTGACTTTATCCATTGCACTACTCGACATTGAAAATTGAAGATGACAGCTACAAAATTACAAAGTGCCTGGTATCAAGATGTTAGCTCAACTTCAGTGAGTATAATTCTGAAGTTGTCACCAAAACAAGAGATAATGAGTGAACGAAGTAATTGGGGGTGTGTACACCACTAGCTCTGGACCTAAATATCTCTTCTTAAATGAATTCAAGTTGGGATTTAGCCCCAAATTGTTGACTTTACGCAAGGTTAACGCTCAAGCGGTTGACTGTATATGTATCAGAAACACAATTACTTAAACAAAGAAGGTAAGAAATGGGACCTCAGTGAGGTGTTGACAGTAAGCTAGAGTTGACTTTATCAGGATTCCACTGTATCTGTTATTACTGATCATTATAATGCTTAAAACAAAAAGGGGAATTAGTTATTCTAAAAAAAGGCAGTGTTCATCATAATGTCAAAAATATTTTTAAAAAAACAGGGACATCTGCTGAGCTGTCTTTCAAATAATTAAGGGTCCTGTTTTAGGCCTTCTCTGTATCTGAGAAGGCCTATAAGGTCCTGTTCCCACTTCCTGCTGTCTCCTCTTCCTCCTCTTCTTCCACCACCTCCATTTGTGAGGCAGCGTGGTGGAATCAGGCTCTCGCCAAAATAATGAAATCGAAGAAAACAGCTGTTTTCTCCCTGTTTAGCAATTTTTTATCAAAATTTTTGTTTTTGGCTCAACGCCTGTTATGTCCATTTACAAACACATTCCTTTGAGGATTTCACCGAAAACGTTGATCAAAAGCACAAAAATATGAATTTACAGTTTCCATGGACTCTCGAGCTTTGGAATTTACCAAGCTTTGACGGCCATTTTCTCGCTAATTTTACCTCTTAAACCAGGTGACCCCCACCTCCTTCAATCCAAAATATCTCCACTTCTATTGAAGATGGATGGGTAGTTTTTTAATTGAAAGCAAGAAAACTGAACAAGCTTTAAGATGATACCAATAACTCAATATGCCCAAAAATTGACGAGAGCCTGATTCCACCACGCTGCCTCACATTTATTCTTCCCGTGTAAAGCCCTGAGCCTCTTCAATGCTGCAATACTCGGAAAATATTTTCCACATTCCTTGTGGCCTCTGCACACCATGCAGCCTTTCTTGACCAAGGCCACCCTTCTTTTCCTTATTTTTTTTTCACCTCTCAAAAGTGTAATATTACATTTGTTCAAGACCCCCCCCCCCCCCCTTTCTAACACCTTTCTTACAGGAGCCAAACAAAGATCCCCCCCCCCTTCCAGGTGTAAGATTATAATATTTGAACAGCCCCTTATAAATCCTCCCCCCACGGGGATCGAACTGAGGTGTCCTACGTGCCACGGCAAAGCGCCTACCTCTACTTCACAAAATATAGCGGCACGCAAAAATTACCACACACATTCATCTACCCGTTTTCTTATTGTCCAAGGAGATGGATACCCTTCTAGTGTGTAGCGACCTTACCTGTCTGAAACTTAATCGTCTCTGGGCAACACTCAAAGAGGTTTTTAAAAAATAGGGCTGTTTATAACCTCTTTTGCAAAACCTTATCCTTAGTATAAAGGAGGAAGTAAACAAACGAAAAAATACAAGTTAATTTCCACCTGCTTAAATTAATTATCGATTTTTTTTCATATGTGAGGCAGCGTGGTGGAATCAGGCTCTCGTCAATTTTAGGGCATGTAGAGTTATTGGTATCATCTTAAAGCTTGTTCACTTGTCTTTATTTGGATGAAAAAAGTGTCCATTTATCTTGAATACAAGTCGAGATATTTACGAAAGAAGGAGGTGGGGGGTCACCTGTTTTCAGAGGTAAAGTTAGTGAGAAAAAGACCGCCAAAGGTTAGTTATTTCCTTAGCTTAAGAGTCCGTGGTAACTGAAAATTAACATTTTCTGTGCCTTTAATCAACGTTTTTCAGAAAAATCCATACAGAAATGAGTTCTTTAATGGGCATGAAAAGTGTTGAGCCAAAAATAAAAAATTTAATAAAAATTCACAAACCTGCGGAAAAATGCAAGTTTCTTCATTTTGATTATTTTGACGAGAGCCTGATTCCCCCACGCTGCCTCACATTTT